GGCTACTGCTTTCTTTCAGGTACACTCCCGGGACGAGCGTACATGAGCGACGGCAGACGGGATCTGCCGTCAGTTTGAGACGAAGAGTTATACCATGCAGCTCACGAAATTCCCAATAATCTTCCGAGATTGCTGAAGATGATGTGTTTGGTTTCCTTAAATCGTAATTCCGTTCCGGTTCCATCCTTGGAGTTTTGCATGGTTTCATATAGGAACCTTCTGACATCAAACTCAATTTTTGAATTCAAGAAGTCCGACGTGTCTTGAGACCTCACACGAAGATTGCATGTGTTCTCTAACGGCTAAGTCAGTGATTTAGACTCAGTGACTTGAAGTCACTCCCCAAGATTCCCTAGAGAAGCTCTTGTACGATCTCACTGGTCAGGATTCTTTTTCGAATCCATTATGTCCTTCGACGCCGACGAGGAACTCAGTGCGTTCTCAGATGATGTAGGATAGGGCAATGACAAAACTCACTGAATATACATAGTGCGATGAATTTTGAGTGATTTGGTGTTGAAGTGACTGTTCATGAAAAATCGACATCGAGAAGTGGACGCAGGTGTGGTGCAAGTCGAGCGTCTCGTCCATTTATGAGCTTCGCCACACTAGCAGGATTCTGAAAGTTTTATGACCCGACTATGCTGTCTTATATGAGACCCGCATGGGTAAGGCGATAGTGTTGGTCGATGCTGTATGCATACTGTCGGAGAGAATGCCGGGATGAATTTCGGCGTGAAAATCTTCCGCTTCACCACCATGATGTACAGACTTAATGGGGCTCAGTCTACACGACAACCTTCAAGGCACCATTGAGGGACTTCAGATGCTGGACGACATCGAACTCTAAAAGTTTGATGGAAGATCAGGATGCCTTCTAATTCTGGTTTCATATATGAGGTCCGCATGAGCGGTCAGCTTTTCAATTCGCCCAGTCGCTACGCGCAGCGCTCACCTACACTAACTGGGAATCTACCTTACTTGCGGTCATCGATCGACGCCGTTGTGCAGAACACACTCATTGCCTTACCATCGATGTCGATGACTTATTGAACTCGATCTTTGGTCGGAGCATTCCATCGAAAAGGAGAATCTCTATGGAGATACGACGATCGAAGATCACTGACCGATCCATACAAGGTCGTTCATCTTCCTCGTTGAGCTTTGCCGGCTCGGCAAAGTTGACAAAGGATTAACTCGGCCGTGCTGAAACTCATGGGAGTAGATCCTGTGCTTCCCGCGCGAACTCTCCTGTACTCGATCGGTCTAATAGACCGATCGTAGATAGACCGTCTATCGCCCTACCACAAGACATGATAATCATTTGAACTCAGAGTCCGAAGACATCTAAAGTCACTGAGAAGTTCTCAGTGAGAACAGACAACAAAAAGCAGAACCAAGGGTGAAGTGTATGACGGTTGTAATACAACTCAAGACTCTTAACCGTCGAAGTATACAAAGGTTTTAAGTGATAGACTTGATGACAAGGTAGATACCACAATAGAGCTTTACGCAACTCCAATGATGTCGGGAGTAACCACAACAATAACAACCACTACAATAAATAAGTTATGAACCTGAGTCCACTAGCTGGACGCTAGTACACAATTATGGAGACTAGAGACACACACAAAATCACAATAACTTTCTATCAATTATTTCTATAAAAATGCCGTTACCGGCACAAGTGTGCGGTTGAATCCAACTTGGCGGTATGCGGCCTTGATACAACTCTCGCCGGACAGGAATCATCACAAAGTTGTGGCGAAAGTCTGTTGTAAGATCAGATTTGAACGAATCACCTGGCGATATTCGACTCCGACTCGAGAACATACCAACCGCGATCGATAAAAGGCGGATATCCCCAAAGATGGTCTAATATTCATAAACGATTAATTATACCAATATATCGGCGTTTTACGACACGCACTTGGCGAGTACTGATAAGTTTACCAAGTTTTATAGCAATATCTGAGCCACTGGCATGTAACACCAATACCAAGTTGCTGTAACCGTGTGCACAGAATGGAATAGATCATTTGGGCGAACGAAATTAAGGATTACCTCAACCAGCCTCCGGCGGAAACTCTCCGCCACATCTCCGAGATGTCATCTCCGTGAAATTCGTTAGGTGTCGACGCCAAAGAGGTGAGATATGGTCCAGAAGCGGTCGTATCTCATGATTGAGCGTGCTGGCGAGGGTTCATTAGGACCCGAAATCGCCAAGCTTGACGAGTTGGTGGAACCTGGTTCTCCGGCGTAGACGTAGATGTAAAAAACGCACGCCATCGTGATCGATATAGTGACACCAGCGCAGGTTTCTCGAGTGCCTCTTGTGTGCGTCTAGGGATGCAGATTGCCTTTACTCTGTTGCTGGAGTGATTTCTGTTGTAGACCGCCCTTCTTGAGGTGTGGAGTTGTCCTTCACCAATGTTGATTCACTATAGCAATTCCCCTCATAGAGAATGTTATCTTTCATCGGTCTCGTCTCCGTCGCTAATCTCCTCGCCTTGGTGCTGGGATTCCCTGCCAGGGAACCTTGATGAGCCCTAGGGGCATCGCTAATGATACTACTACTGTTTGTCCTACCCAGAATGTCACTACTTCGGCAAGGCCTCCGTCGAAGTATCGTCCAGTTAGGTTTGTGTCTTGACACAAAGTGGTTCGAAGGACACCACTGTATTACGCCCGCGCCAAAAGAACTACGTGTTTGTTGGGATCATTTTTGCCAAGCTGATGCTCATCGTCGCGGCATCCATCCTACGAATGCCCAAAGGTATTGTCAGGGAACTTACTTAAGGACTGGCAGAACCATAAAGGCCGCTTATGCTTCCACGATGTGAAACTTCACTGTCACTATGATAGTCTCAAGTCGACACCGAAGGATGGTTGGACTGTTGCTGATCTCCGCAGTTATCCGCCTACACCAGGCTCGGTGAGCACCACTCCCAGTGCTCCTTCTACTACTAGGTTGATTCCAACTGTTACACCGTCGTCTGTTAGTGGTAGACCTGCCGGGGCCCCCGGGGGGATTTGCATTGCCTTGGTCTTTATAATTGGAGCATTTCCTACATGACAATAAGATGTTTATACTACGGTTATTTCCAGGCGTCTTCAAGCGACAGGCTTTTTATCGTCTTGATCAATTTGGGATGTTCATTGAGATATCCAGAATGAGGCAAGTCGAAAGGCACACGACGCTCGGGTCCATGAATTGTAGAACCCAATTTGTCGCGTATCGGTCGTAATATTCATTTTCATTGAGAAACACACATCAACATACTTCTTCTAGTTGACAAACTGACGAATTTGCCTTCGAAAGTTTGCTATGTACCTAAAGACTGGAAGTAATGGGAGTAGCGAATCGCTACTAGCGATCCCAGAAATCTTATCCAATTCTTCATTGGATATGCATTCATCTGAATGAGCCATTGGAGTTTTACCTGTTCAACGTAAAGTGGCGTAATACTCTGTGAGAAACGCGAAACTCGCGATATGCAGTATTCGTGGAATATATTCTTCAGTGGTGTTTTTATCACGGGTGAAACTCCATTGGTATTCGTAGCGTGCTCAGTCCTGCAACAAGACAATCAGAATTGGAAAAGCCATTTGCTCAATTAGGAATCGAACTCGGCAGATGTTTACGTTTGATGCCTCCAGTATAGGAATATATGTACGTATTGCGAGAAAATTTCTCGGGGAAATACGGAAATTCTGAGGGGATTTTTGGGAAATTGTCGTTGGTTTTTGTACACTTCTACCCAAAATCTCGTAGATTTTCATAACATAGTGAGGAAACTTAGGAGCTCAGTTGAGGAAACCGAATATATATTCCAACACTGAATGTCTTTGTTCTGAAACACGCAGTGTTGGAATATATGTTCGGAACATAATGTTCCTTCTCCTCAGCTGAGCTCAGGAGTTTCTTCACTAAGAGGACGAGTTCCAAAACGGCCTTGCATAACACATTAGGGAGGAATTTCCTCCTAAGAATTCTGTCAACCAGTGTTGAAATATACGTTCGTCTTCCTCAGCCGAGCTCAGGAGTTTCCTAACTAACTATATCCTATCGGAAAAAAATCCCCGAAATTTCCTATCAGATATTTCATATTGTCACCAACACATGCCGTTGATCCTTCCGAGAGATCGACACGTATGTAGTGTTGCAGGTTGAGTGAGCAAGAATTCACCCTCTCTATCTCATTCATCTGGGCGAATGCTCCGAGAGAAGATGGTGGTTCTCTCGAGGCCGGACGATTGTTAGCGGGACTCTAAAGTATGATGCAGATAGCAATTATCAATACACTACGAATAAAGATGTCTTACGAATAATGCGAACAAAGAGATGAGACTCTCCGAGCCACTTGCCGCTGATGATGAAGCTGCTCTAGTGTTTTGGGTGTTTCCCGACTGGTTATTATGCGGTTGAGGACCGCTGTCGCATTGTTCGCGCTGTTGCTTGCTTGCGGTTGTTGAGCCTGGAAGAAACGTGCTAGCATTTCTAGCACGTTT